CAGCAAGGATGCAGGTATTTTAACAGAAAGGAAGCCTGAGGTGGGCTTCTCTCCTCCTCCTGCTCTTTGCCCCCATTCACTCAGTGCCAAGGTTGTCATTCTGCCTCTGAGCCATTCTGCCCCCTCCCTCTCCATCCCCACACCCTCGCTGGCCTCTGCTGAAATTCAGGTGCACCTCTGCTCCTGGCTGGGTACCACTGCCATTCATATCTAGCCTCTCTACCCTGGGTGCTTCTGGGTACCAAAGGGCAGACTCTGCCATCAGCCAAACACACAGGTAGATGTGTGTCAGCTGCCCTGCTCAGAGACCTTCTGCATTGACACAGGCATGATCAGGTTCAGGTCTTGTGAGAAGACCCGGGTCTAGAGGAGTCAGGGAAGATGTAGATGAGGAAGGTGGGACTGAAATGAATCTCTGGCACAGGGAAGAGGTACCAGGCAGCTGCTGTCATCCAGGTGAGAGACGGTAGGCCTGGCTGGCCCATTCTAAGCTCCAAAGCTACCTTGGCCATTGGGCTGAAGGTGGGATGGGAGGGGCATCAGAGCCAGCTGTCTCTGAGAACAGAAAGGAACCCCCATATGGGGCCTCAAGACAGCTGAGCAGTCAGAGGTGACTCTCCCATGGCACCAGGTCTTGGGAGAATGAGACTTTTTAGAATTTTTTTTTTTTTTTTTGAGATGGAGTCTCTCTCTATTGCCCAGGCTTGAGTGCAGTGGCACAATCTAAGCTCACGGCAACCTCCGCCTCCCGGGTTCATGTGATTCTCCGGCCTCGGCCTCCTGAGTAGCTGAGATGACAGGTATGTGCCATCACGCCCAGCTAATTTTTGTATTTTTAGTAGAGGCAGGGTTTCGCCATGTTAGCCAGGCTGGTCTTGAACTCCTGACCTCAAAGCCTCCCAAAGTGCTGGGATTACAGGCATGAGCCACTGTGCTCGGCCCTTCTTAGAATTTCTGACATTCACCATGTCTGTTTTGTTAGCCCAACCAAGCAAGGCTATTTCAAAATGACTCTTGGCATTTCTTTTTTGTCTGTCAACTTCCATCCCCCTTTCCATGCCAGGACTTCTGAAAACAGTGAAGGCTTCAAAGTAATCACCTTACAAAGAAGGGCATTACTCTCATTTCACATTTGGGGAAACTGAGGACCACAGAGGGGAAGTAAAGACGCCAAGGTCACACACCTGCTAATAAGTTCCCATCCAGTGCTCTGGCAGCAAAAATGCTTGAGGCACAGGAGTCATGGTTTCCAAACCCTCATTTCTGTACCGCCTTCCTCAGTTTTATCTTTTCTGCATAACATCTTACGATTATTTATGACAGCGTTCTTCCTTGAACCCACTCACCTTTTTTACCCTCCCTCTCTCCCTCCTTTCCTCCCTCCCTCCTTCTCTCCCTTCCTCCCTCCCTCTCTCTCTCTCTTTCTCTCTTTCTTACTTTTTATCTAAGACAGTCAGGATATCACTCTGTTGCCCAGGCTGACGTGTGTGGCGTGATCATAGCTCACTGCAACCTTGAACTCGGCACATGCGATCCTCCCACCTCAGTCTCCAGAGTAGCTGGGACTACAGGTGTGCACCATCATACCTGGCTATTCAAAAAATATATATTTGTAGAAAAATTAGCTTGGCATAGTGGCGGGTGTCTGTAATCCCAACTACTCAGGGGGCAGAGACAGGAGAATCACTTGAACCGGGGAGGCAGAGGTTGCAGTGAGCCGAGATCATGCCATTGCACTCCAGCCTGGCAACAAGAGTGAAACTCTGTCTCAAAAGAAAAAAACTTTATTTGTAGAGCTAGGGTCTCACTACTTTGCCCAGGCTGGTCTCCAAGTCCTGGCTTCAAGCAATCCTCCTGCTTTGGCCTCCAAAAGTGTTGGAATTACAGGCATAAGCCACCAGACCCAGCCATCTACTTGATTTTCAAATAAAACTTTACATCCCATTATAAAGGGAAAAGAATGGCAAAAACAGGAGGTAACTATTAAACAAGAAAGCAGAGTGATGTTATTAAACGCTAGCCAGGACCGTGGACTATGGAAGGCTCTGGGGTTAGAGAGCTACTATCTATAGAATGGGGTGATTATGCATTAGAAGAGGTGTTAAAGGCATGTTAGCAACAAGCTGAGACTTTCTCCTTGATGCCATCAGGCGGATGGGCAGAGACTTGAAAAGACACTGCCTTTCTCCCTGTGAGAGTCAGTATTATTTAGCATCACATCGGTGGGTCACCTCAAACCGTCTGGCTATAAGGGTGGTTTTCCACTCTTGCAGGTGTAATTTATGTTTCAGTCCAATGTCTTGGGATGAGAATGACGGGTGGGTCATTTATGATCTCCAGGGAAATTCAGGGCAATTTGGTGTGGGGGTCGGCATGGTGAGCACCTGTACCCATGTAGAGGGCAGGGGCATCCAAGAAGCCCCTGACAGAGGCTCTCAGCTTGTCTTGAAGCATTTGGGGGAGCTATGATACTGGCCCCATCCTGCAGAGGATGGCAGATATTGGCAGCTGGCACCGGTGTGCTTCTGTTGTGATCATCATTTGTGAATGTCAGAGTGTTGAAGTTTCCCCCAACAGACTTTCTGTGCTCACCAAATTCGATCCACAATAAGGAACTGAAATTAATATCAGAGGTGTGGGGAGGGCTTAAGGGAGTGTGGGAAAATTAGAGGGTGTTCAGAAACAAGACCGCTTGGGGCCAGCTTGCAGGGAGAGTTTTCCGCCGGTCCCTCATTTGTTTCTTTGCATGTTGCCTTAGCTCCCTGGGCTCCCTACTGGCGACTGGTGTAAGAAGGCAGGCTAGTGATGAGGTTGAGTGCTTCTGAGCTGGGCACCTGAAGGCATCCTTGGGGCAGCTGAGGGCACGAGGAGGGGCTGCCAGACTCCAGGAGCTGCTGGCTGGCTGGGATTCCTACACCATGCGTTGCCTGGCTCCACGCCCTGCTGGGTCCTACCTGTCAGAGCCCCAAGGTAAAAGGGCTGGGAAAGCATCTTAATTTAGAATGTGGTCTCGGCTGGTCCTGCTGTACCAGATAAACAGAGAAACCACTCTGAATTGGGGGTGGGGGGTGAGGGTGAGAAGGGGATTCTGTGTTCTGCTGGGGCGGGCCTTTGGAAGATGTGAAGGAGTTGTCTATTTCGTTCCACCGGAGGGAAGCTTCAGGTCAGCCAGGTGCCTGGAGTGTCAACCCTGTGTCAGCACTGAAGGAGCATAGAAGTCCAACTTTCAGTTAGTATATCGTTAACTCTCAGTATGCTGGCCTGGCTTCGCCAATAGCAAGGTCCTCTCACCTCACTGTCTGTCTTCGGGTCAATACTGAGGGGTGCCTCTGCAGGACAGGACCTCTGCTAGGCCCTGCCCTATCCCCATCCCCAGAGAAGCAGGGAAAGAAAAACTAGAGTCAGCCTCGAGGTGTAGCTGTTGGGTCCTCGGCAGCTGGCCAGAGCTGGTGGATGTTGCCCTCCCCCGTTTCCAAATGGTGTTATTTGAATAGGGACAGGGGACAGGGGGACAGATGGTGGCACCGGCTCTAAAGGCAGTATGGCAGCTGCACTATTGGCTGGGAAGGGTGTGCCCCCACGGAAGTTGCTTACTTTCTCTGAGTCTCACGTTTCCTGGACTGCAAAATGAACCTGTGGGAAAGTCTGTATGACAGGGAAAGGAGGAGGGACCTAGGGCAGTGCCCAGTATTTTGCAGGAACTGAATATCATCACAGGAGCTCAGTATTATTGGCATTGCTGTTGTCGGATCATTAAAGGGGTGGTACCCCTTTTCTCAGGCTCCTCTGAAATGTCCGGTTTCCTCTGAACCCAGAGACTGATGACAAGTCTGCCGGTGTCGTTGGGTGCAGCCATAAGTTGCTGGGGGGAGTGTTTGAGGGGGAGAAGTCAGAGGGGGCTTTGCCCTCCTCCCTCAATTCCAGATGAGGAAATTCAGGCTTGAAAAGGGAAAGAGAGCACCTCAAGATCTCATCCCTAGAGGACCCAGCAGCAATCCATTAAAAAGGAAGGCAGGGCTCTTGCCGCTGAGGGTGTGGTCATTGGAACAGAGGTTTTCCATCTATGGAAGGTCCCTGAGGGATTTTTCTTTTCCTTCCTAGGGCCAGCGTAAGAGGAGCGAATGGCTCCGCTAGCTCATCTCAAGAGTTATGTGCCCTGGGAGGTGGTTTGCCACTTTCACGCTAGGGCTGAGTTGGAGAGAAACAGAGAGCCACCCAGGGTGAGGGGAGGAGCTCCCAGCAGGTCGAGATTTGCCGATCACTTGCCCAAGTGGCACCCTAGCTCCTGGATCCTGGCTCCTGGCTCCTGGCCTGGGGATCTCCCCGAAGTGGGGCTGGCTACTGTGAGGAGCCTGTTGGAGGCGGGGACCTCTTGGAGGGCCCAGGCAGTTTGGCTGCTACTTCTGATAAAGCACGTGGTGGCCACAGTAGGTGCCTGCTTGCTCCCCAGCCTGGCCCGAGCCCAGTGCTGCAGAGAGAAAGTGAAAGGGAAAAAGAACTGCGGGGAGGCGGGAAGGTAGGATGACCAGGGGACGAGCAGCCCCAGACTCGCCGCGGCGCCGGAGCAGCTGGCGGGAGGGAGAGGCCACAGGCAGCGCGCGCTGGATCCCGGGGAACGGCGGTAGGTGAACAAAGTCTCCTCGGCAGCCCCTAACGGATCCCGGGGAACGGCGGTAGGTGAACAAAGTCTCCTCGGCAGCCCCTAACGCCGGGCTGTTAGCTACTTGCTCAAGGTCACACAGCAAGGCTGGGAGGAGGCGGGGTTGGAATATGCAGAAACAAGGCTCGGGAAACACCTGGTTTCCAGCATCCCTGGAACTACTCCGCGCGGGAACCGGGAGCCAGTAACCCACAGCTTGGCTTGCTGTGCCCAGAGTTCCGGGGCCGCGGCTGAGCGGGTGGCGGGAAATGTGGAGAGGCTGGGGAGCAGATGGGGACCGCAGTGCAGACACATACCCTCGGCCACCCTTGGCGGACTCCGAGCGTCCCGGGTCCTGCAGAGGTGCGCACCTGCACACGGAGGGGAGCACGCGCCCTCACAGTACGCGGGAACTTGGACCAGGGTCGCCTTTTTCTGAGCCTCAGATTCCCTGTTGGGTCAGGTCATATTCCTGCTGTAACTCTGGAATCTGGGTATCTGGCTCTCCAGGTGGGGGCTCCTGCGCAGGGAGGCAGTAGGGAGTTTAATAGCCAGAGGATAGGAGAAGTCCTCAACTCTCTTTGACCATCTTGGCGAAAGTGTGTGTCGTTGGGGGTGAGAGGGATACCCCGGAATGAAACGATCTCTTTATCTCTCACTTCTCTATCTCATTTTTGGGGTCCTGAGTCACACCCTCTAAGGAGAGACGCTAAAGGGCCCCGGAAAGCCAGCAGGCGATTGCGGGGGTGGGAGTGGGAGGTTGGTTCTCCCTGGGGTCCAGGAAAGCCGGAATCCGAGCCACCATGCTTAGCTTTGTCTGGAACTCTTAAAACCTGCGGTCCTCCCGAGTCCCACAGCCCCTCTTTCCACCCTAGATGGCACAGGAGAGGTGGCAAACACCTAGAAGTCCAAGGCATGGCTCCCTCCCCAATAGTAGCCAGGAGTTTTTAACTTTGCCAGGAAGTCTTCAATCTCTGCTCTCCACTCCAAAGCAAAAATAAATAAATACTCCTGAGTGAGTTTAAGGAAATTGGCGCTTCTTCCTCTTGGAGGAAAAGCAGCCAAAGGACCTTGACTCCAACAAATCATTGCCTTGCAAACCCCCGGCTGCCTTAAATGAGGACCTGGTCTCCAAGAATCTCAGAACGACTTCAGAGATGATTGATAGGGTATCCCAGGCTCCCCACATGTGAGCTCACCTGGGATGATCAACCTGTTTAGGATGCAGCTTCCCGGGCTCACCCCCAGGTGCCCTTGGCTAGGCCTGGGGTGAGGCTGAGACCCCGTAGTTTAAACCATCTACCCCAGGTGACACCAATATTCGTTTGTGATTCAAAAGTCCGACAAGGTACTGAGACACTGGGAGGCACTGATTCGATCTAATCTTTCTCCCTCTCTCTCTCTTTTTTTTTTTTTTTTTTAAGGCGGAGTCTCGCTTTGTTGCACAGGCTGGAGTGCAGTGGCGAGATCCTGGCTCACTACAACCTCCACCTCCTGGGTTCAAGCGATTCTCCTGCCTCAGCCTCCCGAGTAGCGGGACTACAGCCACCCGCCACCCTGCCCAGCTAATTTTTGTATTTTTAGTAGAGACAGGGTTTCATCATGTTGGCCAGGGTGGTCTCAAACTCCTGACCTTGTGATCCGCCCACCTCGGCCTCCCAAAGTGCTGGAATTACAGGCGTGAGCCACCTCACCCGGCCGATGTGGTGTCATCTCTTTACTCTCTCCCTGTTACAAAACCTCCAGTGGAAATGGAGTCCCGGGAGGTGTTTTGTTTTATTTTGCTTAAGGTCACATAGCAAGCAGTTTGCAGAGGCAAGATTTAAACCCCAGTCTACTGAGAACCCAGTCCAGTGCAGCAAACAGATGCGAACCTCCGCAAACCTCCCAGGTGGTCAGAGAGAAACCTCTTGACAGCCAGTCTGTCTGATGGCTGGGGCTTGGTTTCATGTCTTGTGACCCCTGCCTCAGTTACACTGAGAAGAGGAGAGTCAGAAAATTAACCCAAGGACATTCTGCGTCAGTGTGAGGCAGTCAGGGAAGTGGCTGGAGGGAGGTGGGAAGCTTCTGGACCTAGCCTCAGATTTGCCTTGAGTCACCCTGACAAATGACTTCCCCTCTCTAAGGGTCATCTATAAAACAGATAAACATGAGAGCTTGCTTGATGTCTGATGTGCACAGAAAAAGCACTTTGGAAAACCATCAAAGAATATTCATGCATTGGGAATAATTATTACAGATCCTAAAGGGATTGTTTAGAAAGATCAGAGAGGGGCTGGGTGTGGTAGCTCAGACCTGTAATCCCAGGGAGGGATTACTTTGGGAGGCTGAGGTAGGTGGATCACTTGAGGCCAGGAGTTCAAGACCAGCCTGGGCAACATGGAGAAACTCCATCTCTGCTAAAATATAAAAATAAAAATAAAATAAAAAATAGCCAGGCATGAGAATGGCTTGAACCCGAGGCGGAGATTACAGTGAGCTAAGATTGCACCACTGCATTCCAGCCTGGGTGACAGAGCAAGATTGTGTCTCAGAAAAAAAAAAAAAAAAAAAATCAGAGCGGAAAGCAGAGGCAGACAGGAAGATTCCAAAGACCAGGACACACACAGTTAAAAGACAGTTTGGAACGAGGCATTAGTTCCCACCAATTGTCATAGGAAGGACACAGATACTTTACAGATTCCTTCAATCCTTCTTACATCAAGGACAAAGTCTCTGATTTTGTCTGATCTTCCACAACACCCTAATGCTTGGAAGATTTCTTTTAACAAGGGAGTAGAGAAGGGGACATTATTTTACTAACATTGCTTCTTTTTCAACAGCATGTGATGCACTGGTTTGGTTTTGCTTTTCCATTTATAAATGGAAAAACATTTTATTATTGTAAAATCGTGGTAAAATTTACCATTTTAGCCTCTTTCAAACGTACAATTCAGTGGCATTAAATATTTCAAACTGTTGTGCAATCCCCACTATCATCCATTTCCAGAACTTTTTCATCATCCCACACTGAAACTCTACCCACTAAGCAATAAATCCCCCCTGCCCCTTTCACCCAGCATGGTAACTCCTACTTCCTGTCTCTACGTTTTGGGCTGCTCTAGATACCTCCTATAAATAGAATTATACAATATTTGTCTTTTTGTACCTGGCTTCTTTCACTTAGCATTATGTTTTCAAAGGTTCATCCATGTCGCGGCATGTGTAATTCCTTTTTATGGCAGAATAGCATTCCAATACGTGGTTAGCCCATATTCTGTTCCTCCATTCATCTGTGGATAGACACTTGGGTCGTTTCTACCTCTTGACTATTGTGAATAATGCTGCCGGGTACATGGGTGGACAAATATCTGTCTGACTCCCTGTTTTCAAGTCTAGAAAGCTTTCTTTTAAAATGGGTCTATTTAAGTTTCTATAAAAAGTTAATTTAAGGAAAATACTAAGGTAAATTGTAGAACAGCGGGTATGTCAATATGACCCAAAGAAATGTAATGATGGAATACAAACGCCTGCAGTTTGGGAAATGGGTTTAGAGGAAAGGCCTGGAAGCTACTATAAAATCTAGGATGAGGGTCTGGTGACTACCAGATCAAGGGCATGGCAGCAGAGGGCAGCTGAGAGACTTTAGGAAGGAAAGATAGAAGAATTAAGAAAGAGGTCCAGTGCAGTGTCTCATGCCTGTAATCCCAGCACCTTGGGACGTCAAGGCAGGTTGATGACTTGAGACTAGGAGTTCGAGACCAGCCTGAGCCACATAGTGAGACCCCCATCTCTACAAAATTAGAAAAGAAAAATTTAGCCGTGCATGGTGGTGCATGCCTGTAGTCCCACTTGGGAGGCAGAGGTGGCAGGATCCCTGTAGCCCGGGAGTTTGAGGTCACAGTGAGCTATGATCATATCACTGCACTCCAGCCTGGTCAACAGAGCAAGATCTTCTCTCTTTAAAAAAAAAATCCATAAATAAATAAAAATAAATTTTTGAAAATACACATTCCAAGCCAGGCATGGTGGCTCACAGCTGTAATCACAGCACTCTGGGAGGCCGAGGCAGGCAGACCACCTGAGCTCAGGAGTTCAAGACCACACTGAGTAACATGGTGAAATCTCGTCTCTACTAAAAATACAAAATTAGTTGGGTATGGTCGCACATGCCTGTAATATCAGCTACTTAGAAGGCTGTGGCAGGAGAATCGCTTGAACCCCAGAAGTGGAGAATGCAGTGAGGCGAGATCATGCCACTGCACTCCAGACTGGGCAACAAGAGCAAAACTCCATCTCAAAGTAAAAAAAGAAAATACAGATTCCTGGGCCCAGCCACAGACTCCCTGAATAGAGCCACTGGGGGTGAGGCCCAGGACGCTGTGTGTTTAGCACCCTTCCCAAGTAATTCTCATTCACAGCAAAGCCTGCCAACGGCTGGACTCCATTGTGAGATCTCAGCAAGCAGGACTGGCTCATGGTTCATTTTGGGGTCTCCAGCGCCCAGCAGAGTGGAGGTGGGGGTGGGGGGCATGTTGAATAGAGCCAGATGAATCAGGACTGGAGTGCGGGGCCTGCCTTTGCTAACTGCAGTCACGAGATCCTCATCACGCCACCCGCTACCCCAGCACCAGGGTCAGGTTCCCTTCCAGGAAAAACTTGTTGGACTCATTTCCAGATCATTGGCTACATCTAGGAGTGTTGTGGTATGCAGAGGGACGGCCACCTGAAGCTGGGACAGACCAGGCAAGCGGGGAAGGGGACTCTTATCCCAACCCTGCATTCTAGACAGGGACTGAAGGTCTCCTGGCTGCAGCTCATACACCTCCTTTTCCTTCTCATCCTGGGACCACCAGGACCCTCACCCGCAGTAACTTTACCATTTACTGGCAAACGCACAAGGTGGAGATGACGTGTCCTTTGAGTGTTAAGATTTTCCAGCCGGGCGCAGTGGCTCACACCTGCACTTTGGGAGGCCGAGACAGGCAGATCACAAGGTCAGG